AACCATTACTGGTAAGAGTATTAAGTGGTACACTACTTTGAGAAAAGAGCCTGGCATTGTCTTGGAACGACTTGCCTACTCTACAACCAGGGAATTTCACTTATGATAATGTAGCCAAGGAACTCTTGCCCATATCTATAAGAAGACAAATATAAAAATGTTTATAGGAGTCTGTAAAAGAACAAACACTCAGAATCAATCTAAATGCTTTTTGATTGGAGAATGAATAAATTGTGGTGTAGTTTTTGTTTATTTCTTGGTAGAGGTTTTTGCCTTAGGGCGCATGTGCTCACCAGGGAGCCAGAGAGACAAAGACAGTGAGAGGGAAAGTGAGAAATCATCCCTCGGGGTGGAGGGGGGACGGCCATGCCACAATCCCTCCTCCTCTCAGTATCTTGAACACACATGCACACATGCCCAGCATGAGTTTCAGGCCACCAGTCTGGGACTCGAACTTAAACTTGACCATGAGGGTGTCCAGCGATGTAACTGCTATGCCATCTGCTGGCCCCAAATTGTGCTATAGTTCTAACAATAGAATGTTTTATAGCAGTGAAAATTAGTATGTGTAATACCTATGAAACTATGAAGTTATTTTTAAAAACAATTTTGCGAGGATTTAATTTACCATCTATAAAATACATATATTCTAAATGCTTAATTTTTATATATGTACACATTTGTGTAACTGCCGCTCAGAACAACGTCCAGAACATTTCTATCCTTCAGAAAGTTCCTTTTTTTTCCTGTCGGTAACTCTCCTTACCCTCCTTTCAGTAATAACTGCTATTCTGATTTCTTTCAACATAAACACGTTTTATCTTTTGATGAACTATAACTAAAAGGAATCTATGCTCGATACTCTCCAGTGGCTTCTTTCCCTCAACGTCTATGAGATTCAAGTGGCTGTGCAAAGAGTCATTTATAAATGTTGTGCAGTATTTCATTGTGTGAATATAGCACAATTTGTTTATCAGTTCTCCCTGCTAGACATTTGGATGTTTCTAGTTTTGACTAATATAAATGAAACTTATGAACATTCTTGTACTAATCTGTTTGTGGAGAAATGCACTCATTTCCCTTGGGTATAAATCTAGGAGTGAAATTGCTGAGAGGTACAGTAGATCATGTTTAAGTTTCTAAGAAATTATCAGAAAGTTTTCCAAAATTATTGTAACACCTATCAGCAAGGTGTGAGAATTCCAGCCTTGAATCCCATCTTCTCCAATGCATATTACTATCAACATGTCTGTTATTTCAACATATATATATATATATATATGTATATATATATTTTTTTAACTAAATATTTTAAGAAAGATTCAAGGTAGATGAGAGCTATGCCTTTTTTTTTCTTTTTGTAATACAGAAGAAGCTTACTTAAGAAAAATAATATGGAAAGCATCACTGTAAATCCTTGCTCAAGCAGATGAGAGAAATTGAGATCTTGGAAACTGATTTCTTATAGACTGTCCCTTCCACATATCCCCTGGGAGGTCTTCATATGCAGTTAGGTGGACAAATACCCAAGTTAGAAGGATGTTGGCTTGGAATGTATTGAGTTTGAAGGGTCAGATACACTTCTAACTAGAAATTCTTGATAGGTAGTTGGAAAAGCATTTCTGGAATAAGATCAAAATATTTATTTTCTCACTTTGAGAGCAAAGAAGTGCAATTCTACCATGTGTCTAGAAATGAGAAATGTTACATGAGCAGCTCTAGTGATTACCACAGTATCTGAAGAGTTAACCTGGGGAAAGTTTACTAGGGAAGGGCAGCTGAGGATGGGATTACATAGATATTTTAGATTGTCTCTCTTTGCTATTGAGATTTACAAGTATACACAATAAGTCTAGACATAATTGTGTATACTTACATTCCAAAAGCCTGGACACTATGTTTAGAAATTTAGAATTAGAAGTGAGGATGAAGCCCAGAAGTTGTAATAGAGGATAGGCGGCCTTTAGGGATCAAGCAAAGGCTGGACGTCATAACTCACTCAGATGAGAGCTTTGAGACCAGCTACTGTTTCAAATGACTTCAGCTCTTTCATGGTTGCTATCTGAGCCTCCATCTGTGTTTCCCTTGAGCTTAAGTTGACTACATCTTTGGAAGTTCTGGGATTCCTGATAGAGTTGATTCTTACAGTGAACCTTAAAGGAAATGTAAGCAGTGGATTGGCAGGAAGGAATGGCTGGGTCATTCTAAGAGTAGGTGGGAGAATGACTGCAGTCAGCGTAAGGTGTCCAAGGGTGTTGGGAAAGTGATACAAATGTGGGCTTTCTTAAAATAGGAGGAAACAGAAAAACCACAGGAAATTAACTGAATAATGATCCTAATTTTTTTTTTTTTTGGAGAGGTTTTTGCTATAGGGTGCATGTGCTCGCCAGCAGACAGACAGAGAGA